TTTTTGTTTTATACGGCAGTATGCTAAAATAGTATGTCTGTCGTAAAGTTAAAATACAAGAGTGTAATATTTTCAAACATTTCAATTATTCATTTAGTGGATAATTGTGAGATTGATTGACATGTAATTAATTGTTAGCATTGTGCCATAATTTTCTGATTGAAAGTGCCAACATTTAAAGTATTTTTATTAAAATCTTCTACTAATATCATTATACATGATATATACACGATATATAGAAAGCTATATTTCTTTATGAGTAATAAATTATAATATCAAATATAAATTTATTTATTAATTGTTATTTCCAATTGCGTTATTGAATAAAGAGCAAACAGTTTAATGCTAATATTTTATTATTCACTGTAATATTATTTAACAATTTTAGCTGACTGTAGCTTTATGCTCAACAATTAAAGAATATTTTGATAACGAATTAACGAAAATGTATCTTCACTTATAATATCACTAGTGGCATAATAATCATATCAATTGATCGAATTGTAATTTTTAAATACATTATTATCTAATGTTACGGTCTACATTTAAAATTAAATTACATTTAAATATATAAACTCGTGACTGGGTTAAATTTCTTCTTCGTTTTCAGAATTCGACAAATAATTAATCTCTAGTAATGGGCATAATAAGTGTATAAAAAAAGAGGGGAAAAAAAAAAAAAAAAAAAAAAAAAAAAAAAAAAAAAAAAAAAAAAAAAAAAAAAAAAAAAAAAAAAAAAACTTGAAAATAATATCAATATTTGAAAAAAGAATAATCAAATTTCAGTCCTTTTTCAACCCCTTGAAAAATCAAATATAAAAAGGTTCTTGAAATATAGTATAATTTGATTTACGCGTGATAAAATATATTTATGTATTCTCTATTACGAAAATTACGTTTGGCAGGCAATTATATATATAAAAGAAAAAAAAAATGAAATAGGAAAAAAATAAAAAAAAAATTACTATTGGTAGAGAAATTTGCATATTACGTAGCATCGTATTAACGATATTCCGGCGCAATTAACGGAATTGATTCAATGGATTTTGATGGGGTACAGGAACCGAGCGTATTATAATTAATTGTGTTTATTACAGAATAATAATAGTAACGAAGCAAAGCTCTGTTCCACACAGTCATGTACAAAGCACCGAAATGCGGTTCCAGCTATTGATATATTTGCTGCGCGTTCGAAGTATTCAGAAATTCTATGCTCGATGCATGGAACGGCGGAACGTTGCTGCATGAAAACTGAACAGATTGCGTATTCCTCTATGGAGGATCGGTTTGTGCTTAATTTAATTGAACTGAAACAGCGTAGCAATAAACTGCTTTCGAACTGCTTAAAATTTGACAAGATGGATTAATTTGGTTGACAATTGGATTATTGCATCTTTCCTAGTTTAACGGTACATTCTTCATTTGCTTCTTTAAATTTTTAAAATCCCGTGTAAAGTCTTGTTTTTCGTTAATAAATATATTGCAAATTGTATGAAAGATGAAGTATCCTGATTTTGAAAAAGTAATTATTAAAAACAACGAATTAATCATGCTGGTAGTATAATTGACACGGTCGTAATATCTTTTCCATACAGTAATGTTACTGTTGACGGGTTACGCGTTAACGTAAATTATAAATATATTATGGAATGGAAATCAATCGAATAAAGTGAATAAAAATATGAGATTTACATAATCGTCGACACTGGCGTTAAAAATCTTGCGCGCAACAGATCCCATTGACAAGTGCATAAGTGCATAATGTAATAGGCGGTCGAAGGGTAAGGATAGAAACAAAAGTCTCCACGTTCGAGTCCGAGTTATTCATCATCAGAGGTTAAAGTAGAAACTAATTACGAACTGACAACGCCAGGGAATATTGTGGAAAATGTCTTGTCAAACATTAAAGTTTCCGGGCCTTAACGGGGCGCTTTTCACTCTCTATTCCTCTCTCTCTCTCTCTCTCTCCCTCTCTCTCTCTCTCTCTCTCTCTCTCTCTCTCTCTCTCTCTCTCTCTCTCTCTCTCTCTCTCTCTCTCTCTCTCTCTACGTTATTGCTACGGATGCGGCATAGTATACCCTTGCATTCCTAAGTTCATTGTTCGTACTTCTTCACGAGTTGGCTTACGTCCGCTGTTCCACACCTTGCGATAAGAGGTGCGCGCGCGCGCAGCAAGCAACTCGCGTGAGCCGTCCAGTGTCTGAGCGTTTAAACTTCATATCGCGCCTCGCGGAATTAACGGCGTCTCATACACACCTCTTACTAATAATCTTACCCCGTATTATTCCGAATTTTTTGAATTCTGATGTCTAATCAAATGCGTCACCGACTAGTCATGTTGCATACTTGAATTTCGCGAAACTTTCCAGCGACCATTTCTATGTAAAAATTCTTGGCATTCGAGCCTTGTGTACATTATTCATTAGATACGCTGTGATAGTCGCTTGACCTAAACTTTATTAGTCCAAGAATGACGTCTAATTGTTTCATAATCACGTAGTTGCGCATAAATAATTCTAATGTTTAAATAATAATGACGTAAATTTACCAAGGATGCACGTGCGATTAAAATATTAAAAAACTTATGGTTGAATTTTACTTCGAAATGTTGTTTCACATTAATCAAAACAATGTGTATTTGCAATATTTTGTTAAATACTCTGGCAGGTAAATGATAAAAAATTTATAACTCTTAAATCGATCGATTTCATAATTTTTTTTTTATTCCCTGTATTTTCGTTAAAATTAAAAAGTAAATAAATTATGTTTAAAACAATGCTTGAGCAATAAATAATAAGGAAAATGCAATAATGATTGACATTTTATCGAAATTTTATTAAATATTATAACTTTTGATATAAGATTATAAAATATAATATAAATAATTATTACACCTCTCTCGATATGGGATAATTTAACAGAAAAATTTCTTTCAGTTTTCACTTTTTCAACGAGTTACCTTATTATTTGAAGCAATTATCTCGGTAGTAGTAGTAGGTAGTAGGGAAAATATAATAGTGAATTTTGGGACACGAAAGCTTGCATATTGAGTCAATTTGATATGTAGGTATGTTGAATTAGGACATGTAAACAGTGCTAAATGGCATGTTGAATTTCACCGGTTGAACAATGTCCGAACTTTTTGTCGAATTCGTAAATGTACATAGGTCATTTATGTATTAGTTTCTCATATAATAATAGGCCGCTGTAGCTGTCACTAGCAAATGTATTTTTCAAATAAACGCAAACCGTCGATCTTTATTACATCGTTACATTCGATTTAATAAAAAGCTCGCGAACCATTTCGATTCTTATATTTAAACCGCAAGAAATCTTAACCGCCCGACAGAAAATTCTATGCATTGGTTGGTGTCAATGTCCGCCTGATTAAATACAACACATTCGTGATTTTGCCGTGGCGCATTAGCAGCAGCCGTGTCTTGCACATATTATTTTTCCATTAAGTCATTGTAATGGAGCTCGTAAAGAGGTCGTACGTAAGAGAATGGAAAAGTAAAGAAGAAAACGTTTTATTCTCACTCACGCATGAAACTATCTGTTCACTAGAGAGGCGATAGAAGGATAGGTAGGTGGGAGTCTATCCAGATAAGACGTTATCAGTTTGCTGCAGAATGGTCGCGCCCAGCTGATTATTAACTAGCAGTGAGGCACAAGTGTTGCGCACGGAAAGTTCGACCGCGAAGCCAGTGAATCATTATAAAACAGTGCCGAGCGATCACGTAATAGTGGGCGTCCTTTCAATGTATGTCTACACGAGGCTGAACGAGCTAAAAAATGTAAGAATCGAAGTTCGGTAAAATTCGTTGAACAATTGTACTCATCGGCATCGTATTTCTTATAATTTTTAATCTGGCGTTTTTATAATACGTTCTCGTCGTTAAATAGATACAAATAAATAATGAGAAAAAGTGAAAAATAGAATGAGCGAGAAGGGGGGTGAGAGAGAGAGAGAGAGAGAGAGAGAGTGAGTGAGTGAGTGAGTGAGTGAGAGAGAGGGAGATAGAGAGAGGGGGAGGGGGAGCCTTAAAGGTGATAGTTAGCAGCTGAGAACAAAAGCCTCAAGCGATAAGTGCTCTCCACAACAGCTGAATTCCGCTTTTCAGATCTTTTACCTTCAATGCTCCCATTTATTTCATGCGCCTAAAAGTCTTTTATTTTTCTATTCCTAAATATAACTCGTTATTATTTATCTATATAGTGTGCAATGCTTGCAATATCATGAGCGTAATCCTGTATAAAATAGGCCAACGATCATAATCAGTGGCAGTGCAAGGAGCCATCAATGCTTTGTACATGCTTTTTACACAGGTGCATGAATACGCGCACACACGTACACAAGCACGCGCGCGCACATACACAAACACTTCACTCACTCGCTCTCTTTTGTTCTCGGCTAAATTTGCGTCGGTCTCTGGAATGTGGAAAGTCGCACACGAGCTTCAAGATCTCGTCAAGAGATTTCGGAAACATAGGTCGAGCCTAGCCGCTAGGTGCCCAAAACTTTTCTCTTAAAAGAAGAAATTAAGCCTTTCGCATACCCGACGCCTGCTTTATGCAGCCCTTTTTTCGCGACACGTCATATTTTATCCCACCGTCGTTAATCATGCGTTTCTCTTATCGATCCCCCTTATCCATACCAAAGCTCGGACTTTAATTCTCGTGCACCAAGTATATCGCGAGTTGCCAATTAAATCCGAAGTAATTAATTGGCTTTTTATTAACGCGAAGATTCTTGACGCAAACCTGTCGTCTCCCTTATCCTTATCCCCTGACATTGCGCACAATTGGATCTTTAGAAGTTTGGGCCCCACGAGCGATCGCCTCCCGTCCATCCTCGCCCAATGCTTGTTGCTTGTTTCCAGCAGCGCACCGTGTAACAGTCACGTACATTAACACGAATTAAATTTTGACGGAGGGCACAACCTCCCGGCATTGCGAACTTCTTATCTGACGGAGCGTTCTCTTTGTCCCGATCGCAGACGCAAGAGGTCCCATTTCGTCGAGGATAACTCAGCAGCTTGGAAGAGGGAGAACCGTAGTCTGGCGTAAGGAGTCACACCAGAATAACTCGTGAGCCATTGTCGGGGGAATAGCCGGAGGAATTCCGGAGGGCAGCAGCCGCAACACGGCCGGGGAGTGAAGAGACTTGCGAAAGTGAAGGAGGGCCAAGGGTGCGAGAGCCGTAGTCGGCAACCCGAGCGCTCCTAGGCGTCGTCGTCGTCGTCGTCGTCGTCGTCGTCGTCGTCCCCGTCTAGGTGGACTTTATTATCAAGCCAGTCACCGTGAAGTTTGGAGGTTGACGCCTTCAAACGAGTCAGGCAGAAATCATTCGGTCGAAGGCGAAGCGAAAGTCGGCGGACGCAGAGCAGCCGGGCAGTTGCAGGAAGCAGCACTGCAACGAGCAAGGCCTCGCCGTTGAGGTCGCGGTCGCGACAACGTCGCGCAGGACCCCGATGAAAATGCTTCAGTCCCTGAACTCGCTGGCGAACAAAATCTCGCCAGGCTCACCGACCGATGGCAATGCCAATAAGGTGCATATGCACAACAACAACAACAGCGACAACAACAAGAATGTCTCGCATCATCCGCATCCCTACTCCAAGAAGCCGATCCAACAGCTTGCGGCGACTGCGGCCAAGTCCAGCAATGGCGACCAGAAAGAGAATACGTGAGTTTCATTATGTGTATGTTGTTGTGTTGGCATGACGCGTGGTGCTCGAGTCATTAGAGTGTAGTTATATGTTAGTGTCATATGGATACGTCGGGTTGCCATTTGGCTGCCCCGGTGGTACCATTGCTTTTGCATGACACGTTAATCGTAATCGTAAACTATTTAATTACATCTTCCCATCGGATCTTCAGTCTCAATAATTTGACATTTAATTTAACTTCGGTCACTTTCAACTGTCGCACGTTTTTCTATGTGTACGAATTTGCGCCGTTTCCGCTTCTGAAATTGGGTTAGCGAGCAAATTGTACGTACAGATGTCAGTTAAAGAAAAAAAACAAACAACTTCAATATTGTTAGCAATTACCTTGTTTGATCATTGTCGATCGATTTAGTTTTCAATCACTTTAAATTGAATATTTATCTTGATACTAAAGAGCAATGAAGTTGTATTTAACAAATTAAAAGTTGTTGAAAATCGTGGTACTTGAAGGACACAACATTACATACTTATTTACAAACGTACTTTTCACAAATAAATACACTTGTTAATATCTATTACTCTATGCATAAAATGAACATGCAGATTATAACTTGAATTTATAATTTATTATGGCTCTTCAATAATGATGCGCAGATGTAAATAAAAAATATAACATATTTTTACAAATATGAAAGAAAGATAATATGAACGTTACTTGCAATATTACATAATGATTAAAATGATATCAAATTGGAAAGTTTTTTTTTTTTTTTTTAAATAAATAGCTTAAAATATCGAGGTTTATAATCGACTTTATATTGTCTGTTTCTCTATGTATAACTGTGCACATTCGTTATTTATTTTTTTTTTATACTTAATTATATTTCATTATTATTACAATATTATTTTGTAAAATATATTCTACATGTTATACATATATATATATATATAATATATATATAGCATTACATATGTTACAATAGATTACATCCATTAAAGTTATTATAATCGATAGAAAATATTTTATTGGTTAAACAAATTACGCGAGCATATTTATTATCGCAAAATATTTTTTAAGCATCAATGATGAGAATGTTGCAAATGAATGTGACATAGTAAAGTCTTGTTCAAAAGAAATTTCGAAAGAGTATAAAAAATTTGAGTTTTATCAGTATAGCAAATTCCTTTGAAAATATTAACTATAAAATGTTCAAGTAAAATTTTATTAAATTTTAGAGCGATTTTACAATGTATTATCTATTCGTTGTAGACTAACCATAAGAAAATATACCGAATTAGCATTACGGGAAAATTGTTCTCAAAGCTGATGCTTTTAAAACTTACATATCTTTTGTTGTTGTTGTTGTTGTTGTTTTTTTTTGTTTTTTTGTTTGTTTTAATAGAGTAAATAATTAAAATTCCTTGCTTTATCATCTAATTTAGAAAATTCTGTTAAAATTTAAAAAATTTTTTTTTTTTTAATTTACAAATCTGAAATTTTGCTTAATATTTGGCACAAAAGTCGGTCGCTTTCTTAAATTGACAAGCGCAATACGCTCACTACTTTCTATTATCCAAATCCTTGCAAAGTGAGAGAGCGTAGAATGAGTTAGTGCTAAGAAAGCTCCTAAATTTTAAGTTCGACCACCCATCTCCAATTCTGCATACCCTATATTTTTAGTCTTCATACTCTTCGTACACCCTATTATCCTACTTGTTTACTACACAACTCAACTATTACGCCAGTCTTTGTATTTTTCTTCATTGCTTCTACATTTTTTACATATAATTCACACAATTCCTCAGACTATAGAGCTTCTATTCTTCTCTCTACGTCTAGAGAAATTCCCTTCCTGTATTCGACTCTCTATTAAATTCAGCAATGGTGTTTGGTCTACAGCTTCATATTTACAGTAAATTTGTGTATGCATATCGCCTATTTACACGTTGAAAATGTTAAGATTTTTTATTAGGATATATTATTATTGAGGGTGAGACATTAATAATTTGTATTATAATTGGGATGGAGAATCACTTAGAAATTCATTTCGACGTATTTAAGAATACAATATTAATTGCTTACGTCATATTTCTTTACAGTTTCATAAATACATGTAAATAAGAAATTGTCCTACGTATCTTAAATAATCGTTTTGAACTAGTGGACCGCAATATCGATACACACCTTGACAGACAATAAATCGTCGTACCTTTCAAACAGTAATAAATATATGTAAAATATTTTCTGGCTAAGCTGCATATAGTTCAGAATATAGTGAATTCGCAAAGAGAAGCTTGTACGTACTGGACTGGTGGTACGCTCAGCAAAAAGGACAGCCATTTTTTAAGTGAAATTATGAAAGGAATTCAAAATTTTGGCGTTGTTTGCTCGAATTCGTAGGTGCTTCTTCATTATTTTGTTACGCCACATAAGCATGCGAGAAAAAGCCAGGAAAAAGGGTCTGGCATCAGGGGGAGGGTAAGCAGCTAAAATAACTCAGCTTCATTCTCCACGGATCCCGACGAATAAACCCGTCGTCGTCGATCTTGCCCGCAGGGATGGCGCTGCTTTCAAGAGCACGACTTTATAGTTTCACAAACAAATTCTGCGCGTTGTGCATTCCGCAGATTTATTTAAAGTAAAATTCCAGGTTTTGAAGAGCCAAGTTTCCTCGTTTTAATGGTTTTTCACTCATTCGCAAGAATATGCCGAATTGATTGGATGGAGGATAACGTATCTCAATATCGATTAAATCACAATCCAATGTTTTAATCGAATATTACTCTACCAATTTTGTGAAGTAAGATACCAATATAATACATAAGATGTAAATATTCGCCCTTGAAAGTAATTTTATTGATTAAATTAGATTTTCTTCTTATTTTTTTTTTGTTTTTAAAGGTTTTCATATTATGTAACAAACCACTTTAGTATTGTTCAACAAAGAATATTTTATTAGATAGAGGGTATACTGTGTTTGCATGAAGAACACTTTAAATGAAAATTTAAAATTCCTATGTAAATTTTTTAAATGAATAGTAGATTTAAAAAACATTCATATATTTAAAAAAAAAAAAAAAAAAAAAAATCGTATTTTAAAGTTATAATTTGTTTTTATTTTGTTTTTTTTTTCATATGTATTTTTGTTAGTCCAGGCTTTATGAAGTTGAAAGATAAATTTTCCAAAGATTATTTAATTAATTATTCAAATATAATCGTAAATTAAAACGAATTCGATTGTTTACTCCATATTTTTCCAGGTAAGATATAATTACTGGGGTAATTGCTCCCAGCACGATTGCCAAGTGAATTCATAAACAAGTAAAATTTAAGACCAAGATATTCCGAGAGTAGGTTATTTCCTTTCTTCTTTGCCCCACCTCTGCAATCTAAATCCCGCTTGTTTACGAGACTATATGTCCGAGTATGAGTTTACCGAAGATCAAATTGTGCTGAAAAAGAAGTTTTCGTTTCATCCAATTACCACACCTCGACGAAATATTGACTCAAGCGGCCAAGTGAGAGAAATCTGGATACATTCTGACGTTATCGCGCTTACGCTATAGATACCAAGCAGCTGCTATCTCGTGTTCTGCGCAGTTTACACTGATAATCTACCTAAACCTTATCAGCAGGCGTTGTCTTTCCATCGTGTTTTTTTCTCGTAACAGTTGGCTTAGACACTGCACTTTTCTACGCTCTGAATTTTTCTCATATAGTGTATTTATTTCTGAAACATGCACGATTACTTTAGCGGTTCTTCCCACGTACGTTATCCTAAATTTGAGAAAAATAATGGTTTCAATCATTAAGTGATGTGATCATAATTACATTAATAAGCGCAATTAAATTAGAAATATCGAAAATTTTCACCCACGTTATAAAATTGATTTTTATGCATGTGAGTATTATTATTATACAGTATAATATTTAATCTGCCTTTAAATATTTACGATTTCAAATTGTACTGATGTTTTCTCTTTTTTTTCCATCTTTCTTCTTTCTTTTTTTGCGAATAAATCAACGAGTTATTACGTATAATGGAATTTTATGAGATTATAATTCACACTGTAGTTTTTAGAAATTATCTGACGTGTAATAAAATTTTGGTTTCAATTTATGCTGCACACCGAAATAAGCCAAAAAAAAAAAGAAGATAAAAAATTTAAGTATTGACTGGTAGATGTAGATACAAGTAGTATACCGAGATGCGTAAGATAAGATTGCTTTTTATACGTATAATTTTAGCTTTTCACATAGCAACTGCGATACTCTAAAATATTCACTGTGTATTGTTCGTGATTAAGAGCGATATATGTATTAAAAAAAAAAAAAAAAAAAAAAAAAAAAAAAAAAAAAAAAAAAAAAAAAAAAAAAAAAAAAAAAAAACTGTTACCAAAATACCATAAAATATTGTATTGAAAGTTCGTGCGCAAAATCGAAATATGTACGTAATACAATAAATCTTAAATGTGATGAAATCTAAGGCACAGTATTAATTAATATTAAAATAGCGATTGTTATTATTTTTATTATAATTTTAGTAATGTAATAAATAAGGTTAAAACAAATTACAAATTCCACATTTTTATCATTGAGATATTAAATTACGATATTTTAATAAAAAGTGCGTTTTGATAAGCGATTTAATAACTTAATCAAAGTAATGACTATGCTAATTACACGACCAATTTAAAGGAATAATTATTAAAATTAATTAATTAATTATTTTTAATTAATTATTTACAACCTGTTGAACTTTCAAATAGTGGATATTAGCACCATTCGTAGATTAAATATTGCCTGAAGAATAATATGTTTCCAATGTAGCTTCTCCTAATGAAAATGGCAAACATAACAACGACAATGCAGTACTCACTAATAAGATTTTAATGCTCTAGATGTGACAACATTTCCGACACTTTTGATAACATTGAAAAACACATATACGCATAATCCACAACTTTGGCTTTTTTTCTTTTAAATTATTTTCACGAAAATTTCATTCGAATAACT